AATAAGATGGATCAGATAAGGGCTCAAGATGAGGACCCTGCTTTGGAGGATGTTGACTGGGAGTAGAAATCTTGGCCTTATTTGGCTTAGGTGCCATGTTCTTGAAACCACAAAAAACAACACATACCACATACACAAAGCAAGCATTCAACTAGGTCACAAGAAAACCCACTACAGATATTGCCTCGCTGTCATGGAGCAATAAGGCATGAATTATAAAACGATAAGCACAAACACCCCTTAACAGACACCCATACAAGAATCAACTAACATCCATGACAAAAAAAGAGCAAACATTTGAAGAAAAGTGCAAATTGGTCATGGAAAAGGGTAGAGAAGAAATGAAGAACCCTAATTCTCCCAAATCCCAATCTAACAAAGAAGAGGGGCAATTAAGCATGAATTTAACATATCAATAGATTTATTAGCATTAATAAAGCATCACACCATGATTAATTGGAAGAATTACAAGTCAATGCATGAAATTTGGTGAAATTCCCAGTTTTCCAGAATTCAAGAACCCTAATTCTCCCAGAGGAAAAGGATAATTAAGCACAAATTGGTCATGGAAACAAGTATATAATCATTGAACAATCATGAAACCATCACCATTTGGAAGAATAGAGGTTCAATTTGGAGGAAATAGTCGAATCACAAATTTGCCTAGTTCTAAACCTTAGAAATCCCAATATTCTCAATTTTGACTCCTAATTCCAAAAATGAAGCTCAAATACTTTTCCTACCATCATAGAATGGGAAGGGAAGGTAAATAACCTAGAATTCTTACCTCAAACAGAAGTAAAATGAAAGGAATGGAGAAGGGAAGAGGCCAAGAGGGTGGTCGGAGTTTGAGGGAGGAGAGGGATGGAGCAACAACCCTTGTCGGCAGTAGTTGGGCGAGGGGATAGGTAGGCGACAACAGGCGGTCATGTTTGTCATCGATGATGGACAGAGGGAGATGATGATGTAATGATGATTTTTGGTGGGCCGAGAAGAAAAGGAGGGGAGAGTCAGGTTGAGTGAGAAGAGAGAGACAATGGGTACAAATCGTGAAAGGCCCTTACCATTCTGTCTCACCTCGAAAGAGAATTCACACACAATTGAAGTCAAACCACCTTCAAAAGGGAGTTTAATGAACTTCACTATCAAGTCGCCCTTGTTAACCTCACGAGGTAGTCTGAATCCAACCTGAAGCTTAGGGGGATGAAACATCATACGATAACTTTGCCTATGTAACATGAGTAGAAGTTGACGATGAAGCCTTACCACACAGCAGAAATCGATGATGAATCCTCACCAATCGGAGCCAAATATGATGACTTTTCGCTATACAATAATTAAAATTCCCTAGTTTCTAAATCCAAAATCTACTTAGGGGTCGAAAAAACAATTGTGGTTTTTCAGTCACTATTATCAAAATTGGTCATTTATGGTTAATGTCTAACTGCAAACCACACCGAATAGACAACTAATCGAATAACTAACCATGGGCCAACTTCAAGTCTAATTATCTGCTCAACCGACCTCGCGCTAGCATCCAATCCACCCATAAATCACGAGGTCATGATCCATTGCAGCTTTTAATGCTCCAAATCCAAACAAAAATTTTGTTTCCATTCTTTACGAAATGGTCTTCCCAAAATCCAAATCCCAATTGATGAAACAATATCTTAGTCCTTAGGGTTCTAGTCCACTTCCAGACTTCCAAAGTTCTAGTTACTACGTTGAACTCTTAGTGGAGACCTACTGGCCTTCGGCCAGAAGACTAGAATGTCGAACCTGGAGATTGGACTGGAGCACGACAATCTTATTCCTGCCAATGAGGAGTGACAACGAGTTGACAAACTTCTTCCAGCATAAAAGGGCATGAGCAGCGACCTTGTCGTTGTTTCTTCGTCTGTCGAGCAGAGTATGCACCAACTCCATCCTCCTCCTTGACCCATCGTATTCATCCGTCAAGTGAGTTGTTGTTTTTCCACTTCTAAGCTCTAGTCTTCCTCCTCCTCGACCCTTCATATTCATCAATCTGGCGACTGTGCAATTAACCTGAACTAACCGCTAACTGCGACTTGCAGTTAGTGATGCAGTCACAATTGATGAATTTCTACTTATTCAGTTGCGATTAACCATATTATTGGTCCGATTAGCCCAATCTGCACCATTTCCCACCACTCATCCTGATCCGTAATATTTATCGTCTCGTCTCGAGTGTTCTCTCTCTCTCTACCATGATTGTCATGCTAGTGGCATGCCGACCGGTAGAACCAGGGTACCGATTATAAAACCGGTTGAAATGCTCTCGGTATGGTCGACTTCTACCTTTTAAACATAATGACGACCTTTTGGTGAAATTAATTAACAAAAATAAAATTTAACTTCTTTGTATTTGAAAGTTAAATGTTGATGTTATTTGTTTGATTCAAGTATTAATGTTTAGATGTTGAAGTTATTTGTCGGATTCAAATATGAACTTTTGAATGTTGGCAATAAATGTTGTATTTAAATATGAATATTTTTCATTTTGTTTGAAATGTTGTGTTTTATTTAAATATAAGGGTTAATACCTTATTTTGGGTTGAACTATACACAAACTTTTTACTTTGTTCCGTGCTATCCGAAATTACTCTTCTGGTCCAAACTATGTACTATACTTTCTTATTTGGCCCGGAGCCAGGTTTGACCGATAGTCAATGACCATCTCACTTGCCACGTGAGCAAACATGAAATAATTTTTTTTGAAATTATGCGTTCATTTTCCTTTCTAATTATAAACTTAATAATAATAAATTAAATGGAGTACATAAATTCAAAAAAAAAATTATTAAGTTTATTATTAGAAAGGAAAATGAATACATAAATTCAAAAAATAAAATTTTTAATTACGTGTTCTCTAACATGGCAAGTGAGCTGGCCATTGACTAACGGTCAATGAAATTGACCGTCCAATTTTACGTTCAAACCCGACTCCAGACCAAGTAAGAAAGTATGGTACATAATTCGGAGCAGGAGAGTAATTTTGAATTCCACAGACCAAAGTAAAAAGTTTGTATATAGTTCGAATCAAAATAAGATATTAACCTTAAATATAAATATATATATCACTTGCCAAAAAGTATAAACTCTTTTGAGGGGGTCCAGATCACCTCAGTAACCATCAGTAACCCCTTCCTCTGGCCCCCACGTGTCAGCTTTTTCTTTTTATTTAAAAAAAACACGGAGGGGCACTAAGGTAAAATTGCACCCCCTATTTAATGATGTCTCTGACGCGCTGACGCGCTGACGCTGACCAGATCACATCAGCGCCTTCTCTCTCCTCAAACAACCTTTAATTTTCCTTCTCTTAATCTTTAACGGACGATTTCTCACTCGTTTTAAGTCGGAATTTAATTTTTTTTGCACAGTTAGATCAGATTAATTGTGCTCTTCAAAATGATATCCACTTTGATATTTTTCAGACATAAAAAAATTTGTCAGTTATTACCAGTCTATACCATATGGTAATGACTGGTATTGACCATACCATATGGTATGAAAAAATTTGTCACATCAATATATATTACGTTATCACCCAATACCATATGGTATATTGTGGTAATATCAATATATATTTCGTTACCACCCAATACCATATGGTATAGTGTGGTAATATCAATATATATTTCGTTACCACCCAATACCATATGGTATAGTGTGGTAATATCAACATATGGTAAATCTAACTACCATACAATACCACCATAGTAGAACATGGTTAATCGAATGAACACAAATTAATTGTAATTACCATACAATACCACATGGTATGAGAAGGTAAAACCATACAAAAATAATATAAATCTAATTACAACCCTTTACGACCATAGTAAAACACAATATCCATAAAAATACATTTCGTTAGACACTTTACCATATGGTATATACACTTTACCATATGGTAGACACTTTACCATATGGTATATACACTTTACCATATGATATAGATACATTACCATATGGTATATACACATTACCATATGGTATATACAAATTACCATATGGTAGTGTGTAGTATATACACATTACCATATGGTATATACAAATTACCATATGGTAGTGTGTAGTATATACACATTACCATATGGTATATACACATTACCATATGGTATAGTGTAGTAATCTCGGTATATATAGAATTACGACTCTCTTCACTTTCTTCTCCAACTTCATTGTCTTCTAACTCTTTTTTCTCAGAACTGGAGTCGATTACCACCCACTACCACCATGATAAAACTCGTGACCATAAAGATACATTTAGTTATCACACATTACCATATGATATAGTGTGGTAATATCAATATATATTACCTAAAAGGAAGAAAAACAGAAGGAGGGAGAGTCAAAAAAACTCGTCTTCTGTTCCTCTCATTTCTCCTCCGCAATCAAGAACACCAAATGCAACAAAAAAAGAGGAGGAAGATCGGAATTGAAAATTCACAAACAAATACTAAATATATAAAACATGCAAACTTAACTCACATAGATCCGTCCCCTCTTGGTCAATATGAAACGTCATCTATTTTGAGGCCGAGAAAAGAAAGAACATAAGGAAGAAGCAGCTGCAAAGAAGGATTTTGAGCGTCACCAGATTTTGAGGCATGATGCTGCAATTTTTCTTTGTCAATTGTTGAAGAAAAAAATAAAAAACAAAAGAAAGGAACATATCTAGATCTGGGAAAATGAGTTTGGAAGAGAGAAGGAAGAGAGGAAGGGAAAGAGAAAAGAGGGAGGAAGAGAAAAGTCTGGTTTCTCTTTCCTCCGTAAAAGTAATAATATAAATGCTAGAAAAGTAGAAAAGGACAAGAAATAAAATTCAAAAACCGGACAAAAATGCCCCTGACCATCACCGCATCAACCACAGCCACACGATCAACCCGGCCTAGATCTACGATCCTAAAGTGATTACTCACGGGTGATTAACCAAGCCCTTTTGAGGGCCTTACCCTATACTCTCTCTCTCATACGTTCTCTATCGTCCTGACATGGATTGATGATTAAAATAAAAACAACCATTTTTTACCTCTCTCCCTCGCTTCCCTTCCAACACCAACAAACCTCGCGACCCAGCAGCAGCTTCTTCATCATCGTATTCTCTTCCTTTTCTCTCTCTAGGGTTTCCATCTCTCAGGCTCAGTGGGAGGAAAACACGGGACCGGGAGCGAGCTGGCTAATCTCCTCTCCTCCTTCATACGCTAGGGTTCTCTTCCGAAGCTCAAGCAAGAGTGCAACAGCCAAAAGTAAAGTGTAGCGGCCTACTTCTCCACTCTGATCGCGTTTCTGCTCCGCCGCTTCTTCTGCTCCGGCTTCCTCAGCGGGGAATTGCGGTCAATTCAACGGTAATGGCGGCCTTTCTCATATATTTTTCCCGGTTGTCGAAATCTTTGCCGCGCACTTTCTGCCGATTTTGAGCGCTTCCGAGAGTACGGAAATGCCTGCTTAAGTTTCCCCCCGTTTGGGCATGCTGTTCACTGTACGGCAAATATGCTTTCAGTGGCAAGTTGATAGATGAAACAAATAGAGACTTGTTGAACTGAGTTACGTAGAGCATTTTCCTTCTTCTTAGCTCTCCGGCATTTTTCAACGTTCTTCAACTCCGGCAAACCTCATTTGCTCGAGGAAAGCCATCGTGGCGTAATATTAGAGCTTCTTAGAGGCTCTGCTTATTAAATTCTTTGACCTTTTCTCCACCTGTGTCTATTTGCCTTGCCGTCGAGAAATTTAGGTCAATCTGTTCTGATTTTCATTTATTATTGGTGTAGGTGATGAGTTTTCCGTGCACGACATTTTGATGTTCGGAAAATGTTGTGTGGTTGCTGGTGAATGGTTGTTGCCATGGACCTAAATGCTTCACCCCTGCCTGAAGACGAGGAGGATAATTTCGAAAATCACGTTGAACAATACATTGCTCCTGACGAACGCATTGAGAGTGGCGCTGAACTTGCACGCCGGGTACCACTAAATTTGGGCTTTCCATTCCATGTGCCAGCATTTTGCACTTTAGTATAGTCTATGTGATTAAAAGTTCCTTATGTGCTGGGGTGCTATCATATCCATATGTTGCTGAATCTCAAATGACTTCTCATCCTGTAAAATAATGATCGTTGAAACATCGGGGCCTAGGGGTTTCCTTTAGTCTAGATATATAAGGAGAGCTTTGATACTCTTTTTGGATTGCTATGATGCGGTGAACTATGCGAATTCAGTAATGAGAACATTCTTCTGCCCTAGGTTTGGCACACCATTTGTGGGAACATGTTTGTGTTTTCTGAATGAGTAAATTTTATGAAGATTAAATTCGTCAGTAAGACGTTGGTGATGAAATAAATGAAACAGGCTACCTGGTGCTTTGCAGTGAATGTTTGTAATATTGTTGTTTGCTTAGGAGCGGGAAGAAAGGATAAAGCGTAGGAAAACAGATCGCGGGGATGACGTGCACTCTTATGCGTCTCGGCAGCTAGGGGATAATCAAATTTATCAATCCAAACCCCAAAAGGCGTATGATAAAAGCAAACTCCCTCCTGGTGGGTTTCTTTTCCTCCTTGATATGATTGCTCCATGTTTCAGTATCAAATAAACACATGTTACCATCTTTCAACTGCATTTTATGCTGTTGAGTAGCTGTTGTTGATGGCCTCATTTCATTGCGATTGCAATTTATTGCTACAAAATGTACCGAAGATCTAATTTTTACATGACATAAGAATCAATTGCTGCATAGAGGTTTCCAATTGATGTAAGGTCAAGCTTTAATTTTAAATTTTTTCTTACATCTCCAAGTACTGGTTATGTGAGGTCAGTTGTGAGGTGAATGCTTGTTTCCTTATTACAGTTTTATATGTGGGCTTGCTCATTTCAGGATGGGTGGAGTGCACTCCTTCTGGTCAAGACATATGTGGAATGGTTCCATCTAAGGTTCCACTCGGTGAAATGTACTATGAACACATTCCAGCTGGTAAAAGATATTCTTTCAAGCAAGTAATTCATCAACAAAGAGTTTCCGGAAGAAAAGTAAGAATTTGGGTTGACTTTGGAACTTTTAGTTATTAGGCAGCCTTTTCCCCATTAATTTGTTCTTGGTCTTCATGATATTGTGAAATGTTGGTGGCTTCAGCATACAAATTAGTTCATTCTCCTGTTTGCTTTTCTTACTTGAAGAGTAAAGAGCGGAGGAAGTTCCTGAAGCAGTCATACAAATGAGCGATGTTTATGTTTCCTTTATTCTTTCTCCTGTAGGCTCGGTCTGAACATTTATGTCATATATATCTTGTGAGGGTATTTCTGTTTGGACCTTAGTGGCCCTTGTCCAATGATTGGGAAAGAATATGTTATGAAGATTTGGTTGGATCTTTAAATTTGTCAGATTATGGAAAGATTCAGGTCTGGAGAGTAATTCGGTGTCCATTTCTGTATTTTGGTATTATAGACATCAGTGTAGATTTCTTTAAATTGAAAATGGGGTATCTTGTGCCGAACAATGTTTTGATTCATTCATTTGCTAAAGGCGTTACTGCTTTGCAGCTTGGTTTGGTGATTGATTTGACAAATACGACTCGTTACTACTCAACCAATGAGCTTAAAAAGGACGGCATCAAGCATATTAAGGTGCATGGTCTTCTGCAACGTTATGGTTATTGTGGCTATATTATGTAGTACTCGTTTATTATTCACTCATAACTGACTCTAGTTATTTGCTAGATTCAATGCCGAGGCCGGGATGCTGTACCTGAGAATGTGGCTGTAAATCAATTTGTCTATGAAGTATGCTTCTATATATTTTGTGTTGCCTCTTCTCTGTTTGCCTTTATGAGTCTGTTCTTTCTATAAATATGGACCAACAGCTGGTTGATACTTGAGTTTTGAATTTTTAGCTTTTGCTAATGTATATATTGTGTTACGAGATTATGCTTAAAATTGGTAGGATATAGAGCTTAATTACAAAGAAGATATCTTCAGAGAACTGGAATTCATGCTTAATGGTTATTGAACTGTGGGTATATTTATACTCCGTTGTCAATGCTAAGTTCTCTCTGCTGACCCTTGAATGTCCTTCTGTGCCTCGACTTAAGTCCATTCTTGTTTTGGGTTGATGTGTGCTTACCTTTCTTTCAGGTCATGCAGTTCCTCTCGCAGCAGAAACTTTCAAAGAAGTATATTCTTGTTCATTGCACACATGGACACAATCGCACAGGGTATATGATTGTACATTTCCTAATGCGTACACAATCGATGTCTGTCACTCAGGTTTGTTTTGGCTTTAGATTTGGCTAGTACCTCCCCTACATGTGTTTTTGTTCAGACTTAATTTTGTCAGCTACAAGTGCAGGCAATAATGAGTTTTGCCAAAGCACGTCCTCCTGGAATCTACAAACCAGAGTATATTGATGCTCTATATGCTTTCTATCATGAGAAGAGGCCAGATGATATGTTCTGCCCACCAATCCCAGAATGGAAGAGATCTTCTGAATTCGATCTTAATGGTGAAGCAGTACCTGATGATGATGATGATGACAATTCAGTTGCTCCTTTGCATGTATGTATAATTTGCTCATAATCACTTCTTTTACTGCTCTAAAATTTCTGACAAGGAAGCTTAATTTACACCCATGTGAACTGGTGTCCTTCACCTTTTGATTTCAGAGCAATCAAGAAATTGAAGCCAAGTTGACAAATGATGATGTCTTGGGGGATGATATACCTTTTGACCAGCTCAATGCACTGCGGCATACCTGCTATCAAATGTTAAAGATGACTATGCCAGTTAGTGTCACTGTCCTCATCTTATGCTTCTTTGTTGTGAATAATTACCTTTGGGGTTGCTTCTCTTGTGTATATATCATGCAGCGGCCATTTGAAGATGCAGATGCAAGTGCCTAGTGCACTGGCTTGGTCTATTGCATGCTCTTTTCATGTCTATTTCTTTTTTAAGAAAGTGGTACTAACTATTTTTCATTTGATCCCAGGGAAGAGGACCCCCACAATTTCCTGGTTCACACCCAGTATCTTTGAACAGGTCTGATCTAGACTGTTGGATATTTAAATTTCATTAGGCAATGGTTTCATGAATTTTCTTTTCTTTGCAATTGGTGTTCTAGAAGGAAATTGCAATATAGCCTTCATGATTTTGTGTTAAAGTCATATTGCGTCTAAATTTAAAAGTGTAGATGTCTTCTTCGGCCATCCATTTTCTGTTGCGGTAACAGTGGGTCGGATTAAGCTGTAGAAGTACTAATTTGAGTAGTAGCTCATGCTGAATTTTTATTCTGCTAATGTTAAATTTTGTGGCAAAGTTGCTTCTGGCTTGCTCCAGTGTGAAAATTTCATTCAGCCTTAAATCATTTCTATTTTGTTTTGCAGAGAAAATTTACAGCTATTAAGGCAGCGTTACTATTATGCAACATGGAAAGCTGATGGGACACGTTATATGATGTTAATCACAATGGATGGATGTTATTTGGTTGATCGGAGTTTTAATTTTCGAAGGGTTCAGATGAGGTTTCCTTGCAAGGGTGGAAGTGATGTATGTATCTTGCAACTTAACTTCTCAATTGTTCTTGTGCGCTCCGACTCCTATCCATCACGTTGCTTGCATGGTTGATTTCTGAGATGGTCTATTTTCTCCCTTACTAAGGTTTTGTATGATAAGACACATCATTTTACCTTACTTGATGGTGAGATGGTTATCGATACCTTGCCCGACACGCAGAAGCAGGAGAGAAGATACCTCATCTATGATTTGATGGCAATCAATCATGTCTCCGTTGTAGAGGTGAGAGCTAGTTTGGAAGACCTTATCTGTCGGTATTTCATGTAATATAATGTCAATTGGGTTGGCAATTTCTGCAGCGGCCTTTCAGTGAGCGATGGAAAATGATCGAGAAGGAAGTGCTTGGACCTCGAAATGCTGAACGTCATAATGCCTACCACAGCAGAGAATTCTCCTATCGATATGAGTTGGAACCCTTCAGGGTATGCAGTTTAGGACTGCAACTTCTATTCATATGTTAGCCTACTAGTAGAGCTTCAGAAGTTTATTTTAAGTTATTTTACCAGGTTAGAAGGAAGGATTTCTGGTTGCTTTCTACAGTCACCAAGCTTTTAAGGGACTTCATTCCTAAGCTTTCACATGAAGCAGATGGACTTATTTTCCAGGTACTTGGTGAGGGAAAACTAGATACGGGGAGGGTTCTGTTTGTTAATCTAAGATTTATCTTTGGCTGAAAAAAATCGCCTCTTACTCAACTTTCTCAATTGCATAAACATCAATTGCATTGCTTATAACTTACTAAGGCTTGTTATCTTGTTATTTTTTGTTAGGGATGGGATGATCCTTATGTGCCAAAGACTCACAATGGCCTTTTGAAGTGGAAGTACCCAGAAATGAACTCTGTTGACTTCTTATTTGAGGTATCTTTTGTGGAGCATCGCAATGTCCATTTTCATTGTCTACTTTCCGTGTTGTAGTTGTGGTGACTATTCATCCTTTTCTGTTGCCAGGTTAATGCTGATGGTCGACAGTCACTGTGTCTGTTTGAACGTGGGAAAAAGAAACCAATGGATGGGCAAAGAGTTGAATTCAAAGGTGAGTGTTACGAGTATCCACTACGAACTGAACAATCTTGTTTGTCAAATTTTAGTTCTGTGTCATTCTTCCCTTAGATTAGAGTGTGCCCTTCTTTAGTTTGTCTTGAGGCTACTACTCTGAACTCATTGTTTGTGCCTCAATTATCTTGGTTTTCTGTTTTGTCCAACCCTAATTCTTCAACACATGCCAGATGATGCTGATCCTTCTTCTTATTCGGGGAAGATCATTGAGTGTTCCTGGGATAAACACAAAGAGGTCTGGGACTGCATGCGTGTTCGGACAGATAAAAACGCGCCTAATGAGATCAACACATACAGGAAGGTATGGTTTATATTCTCTCTCTCTCTCTCTCTCAAATTGAATGACTGAGTGTATGTATGGGTGTGTGTTGGCCATTATTATTATTCTTTTGTTCTAGGCAAAGCAAATTTAGTGGACACATCCCTCAACATTAATAATGCCTGCTTGCTTGCTGACGCCGATGAAAACAGGTGATGCGAAGCATAACAGACAACATAACGGAGGCTGTCTTGTTGGGTGAAATCAATGAGATAATTCGGTTGCCGATGTACGCGGATAGGATAAATAATGACAGCAAAGCTGCAGCACGGAGAAGGTGATTTACTTGTAGAATGGAGTAGCTACCTTCCGTCCTACCCATCCACCCCATTTGTAACTGTCCACAGCTCTCTCAGGTGTATAACATTGTAGCCAAGCTGGTGAGATGTTAGTTGATTTGATGATCTAGATGAGGACCCGTGACAAAAAGAAAAGAAAGGGGGGTAAATGAGAAGGGAAGGTTGAGAGTAGTATTATGATGTGCACGATGCCCTACTGTAGGTCGGTCCAGATTAAGAGAGGATTAGGAATTAGTAGCATTCTTTTCCTTTCTCCTTTTTACCTTTTCATTGTATATTAATTTTTAGTTTTCTTCTGGGTTTCATGTTAGTGATTTGTAATTTATCTTAGAAGATGAGATGAGCCCTTTCCAAGTTCTAGCTTTTAGAGTAGTTGCAGGCTGATATTTCCTTTGGGCATTTTTTGTTTCTGGTGTCAGTCTCGGTTGAGTTCTTGAGGGTTGGTTTCTTTTTGTTCATTTGCATTATGCTGCACTTGATTTGCATGTTTGATTCTGTTGGAATTATGGGTTAGTACTGTCACTCACTTTGCAATTTTGATTTTTTATCCTTTTGATACTGAAGGGCGACCGAAAAAAGCACTATGAGGTAATTGAGAACTCAAGAACTCTGGCAACGTTCTTGGATTAAGGATTTTCTTGTTAAGTTAGGTCCCAAGGCGAGAATTTGTAGAAGGCGGCTTTTGCACAAACTTCCCACGAGGAATCCTACAACTCTCCGAATAACTCTATCACTCCATTTCCAAGCAAGTATTGGCATCTCTCTCAAGAGATCTGGTGAGTGTTGGTGGCCTTTGAGATTTGAGGGAGTTGCCCACCCAGCCCTGATACCGATTAGCCCGTATGGTTGGTTCTAGCCAACTTAATGGACTTGCATTCCTCTCTTTCTATTTGGTGATCGGAACTTGGAAAGATCCTACTTGTCCCGGACCTGGCTAATTGTATCAGACAGTCCCAGTCCCATTGTTCTTGCCAAGTAACATACAAGCTTTGAGAGTTTGAGTGCAAATGTCATGTTGGACTTTTCGACTTGTTTTCCTATTGAACCATCTTACGATATATCTAACTTACTCCTAGAAGTCACCATCTTCATCAGGATAGAAGCCCTTGAGTGGAACTTTGTCATCTATTGACGAAGATAACCAAAACTTGGTTCCCACTGTAAAAACGCTCAAAGAAACCTGTTGCATTACAAACTGAAGCATGCTATTGTACTGGGTTCTGAATACCAATCATGCGGAGACAAGGGTGTTGGGGTAATAGAGATAAGCCTACGAAAGTCAAAAGCCTGTTGGGCCTAAAGCCCGCTTATGACCTATCTAGGGCATAACCCATGTGGGGATAATAGGAGCAAGCCCATGAAAGTCAAGTGCCTGTTGGGCATGAAGCCCATTTGTAGCCTATGAGGGCATGACCTAGGCAGCTATGAAAGAAAGGGGGCGCATAGCGACAAAATAGGCTCGCAGACAAGGAAGTACGGATGGGCGAGGTCGGAAGGGCGCCACGAGGCCGGTGGTCCCCCTATGCGCCCCGACGTGGAAGACGGACAGTGTGCCACGTGTAGGCGCGTAGGCGCTAGGCCAGACCAGGCATTTAATGCTTGGCTGACGTAAGGCTTGGTGGCAGGAGTTGGTCGGAGCTTGGTCGAGGAGCCCGAGTAGTATAAATAGCACTTGGTAGGTAGCATTTAAGCAGGTCGGTTTTCTCACACTAAAACTTCTCTCTTCACTTCTCTCTTTAGAATCACTACTGACTTGATCGTTGGAGCGCTAACGGAGGGGCTTAGCCCTCTAGGCGTTAGTCTTGCAGGGCCCAAGCGCTCGGTGTGGAAGGAAGTAAGCGCTGCACGGGTGGAAAAGTATCGTGGCACCAACAATTGGCGTGCCAGGAAGGGGGCGTTCGGCAGGTTTAGGAAGATGGAAGACTTGAATGTGGGGAGTGTGGGCGCTGAGGAGGTAGGAACGGAGGATTCCAGTCGTGAGGGGAGTGAGCAACGATCTAGTCCCATAGTGAGCATGGAGGTAGAGGATGAAAGCCGTGAGCGCCCATCTATGGAAAGTGATACGTTGTCGAAGAGGGAGTTGTTCAAGATTATCGCTGACTAAGACGGGGCAATAGCCATGCTTCGGAGGGAATTGGAGGGAGGAAGGAGCGTGGATACGAGGGAGTACAGCCCCCCGGTAAGGAAGCGGGACAGGCTCATAGACGATTCGGAGGTTAGCGAGTATGGGCGTCCGGGCTATGAAGGGCCCAATCCGGAAGTGACGCCGCCTACGCGCCCGGGCGCATGGAGAGCGCCAGGAGAATGGGCCATCCCGGGGCCAGAGGAGCTGAACCCTTGGACGCCTAAACGCTAGGCCAGGCGCTTTGGGATCAGGCAACCCTTAGCGCAGAGCGTGTTAATGGAGCCAGCGGGGACTACCCTCCCGCCGGTGACCAGTTATGATGGAGTCATTGACCCAGAGGATCACCTGAATAGCTATTTCACGAAGATGCAGCTGTACAACAGCACGGACGCCACGTTATGTAAGGTGTTCCCCTCGACATTCGCAGGAGTACTCTTGGATTGGTATCAGCAGTTAGAGGAGGGGTGCATCAAGTGCTTTGAGCAGTTTGCAGAATTGTTCTTGTCCAAGTTTGCTAGCCGAAAGCGGAGGACCTTGACTATAGGCGCTTTGTTTAAGATCAAACAGAGGGAGGGGGAGGCGCTTAGAGAATTCTATGACCATTGGATATCGGTCGCTATGGCCGTGAAGGATGTGCAGCCGCCAGTCCTGGGCGTGTGTCTGGAGGAGTGTACGAACAGCGAGGAGTTATGTCGGGTGCTGTCCAAGAGGGCCGTAGTGTCGACTAAAGACTTGGATCGAAGGGTTCAGAAGGTTATTGCCTTGGAGGAGACATTGGCCGCAAGGAGGGCAGCGAAAAGGCGTGTTGGCAGGGAAGAAGTCGAAGTACGCCAGGCTCCGAGACCGTTCGTAGTGAACAATGTTCCACAGAGGAGAATGGAGGGTCAGCGCCTGCCACCCAGGAGTGCGGGAAGTTTCACGGAATATAACGATTCTTTGAAGAACATTCTGCAATACGTGAAGGATAGGGGGTACCATGTGCGTTGGCCAGGACCCATGCGTGGGCAACCAAATGAACGAAACCTTGACCGATATTGTGACTTCCATCGGGACAAGGGGCATCATACGGCCGATTGCTACCAGCTGAAATCGGAGTTGCAGACCTTAGCCGACCGAGGAATGCTCAACGACTTCATAAGAAAAACGGAATAGCGGACTCACCGCGCGTATGTCACAAGGGAAACAAGGCCGGCGCCTGTTGTGCTGGTTGAGCCAAAGGCGCCTAACCTCCCCTTCATGCAACAGGCGCCTGATACTCTCCCGCCCCCACTTGAGATACCCCCACCTCCGTTTGAGTTGAATCAGGAAGGGGAGCCCAACCGGGTTAGACTCACGGTGGAGTCTATAACTGGTACTGTTGACTTGCGAGACAAGTTGGATCGGTCTAGGCACCTCAGGGCTGCATCTGTGGAGGCAAAGGCGACGGTCCAAATATGCTTTAATCAGGAGGCGGATGAGGCGTGTCAAGTACCCTCAGAGGAAGCTTTGGAGATACAAGGAGTCATTGCGGGGTGTAATGTTAAAAGGATGTTGGTGGATACTGGAAGTTCGATGGATGTTTTGTTCAAAAGCACGATCGAGCGCATGCAGTTAGCGCCGGAATTGGTGAGCCCCCCTGATTCAGTGCTGATAGGGTTCTCAGGGGCGCCTGCCCATGTGATCGGGCGCGTGCGCCTCCCGGTGACATTGGGTGACGAAATGCATCGAGTGACACATGCAGTGGAGTTTGGGATAGTGGATTGCCCCTCACCCTATAATGTCATACTAGGAAGACCCCTTTTGGATTGTTCAATGGGTAGCCTCAACTTGCCACCAAACGCTGAAGTTTGTTGCCCCACAAGGCATAGGAATTTCACGGGGAGAAAACGCCCCCCGCTATGCAAGAGAGGAGGAATGGAGAAGACAGGGCGCACGGAAGCACAGAGTGAACAACATAGACATCCGCTCGGAGGAGGCGCCTAGGGCGGAGCCAATGGATGACGAGTTCAGTGTACCAATCGAAGAAGGGCGCCCGGACCGACAGGTACGAGTGTCAGCACAGGCCCCAGAGAAAATGAGGGCACCCTTGATCGATTTGTTGCGGGAATTCAGGGAGCTGTTCGCCTGGAGCCCCCAGGACATGCCAGGAGTGTCCCCAGATGTAGCGGCGCATCGGTTGGCCGTCGAGGAAGGTAAGAGGCATGTTCAACAAAAGCGGAGAAATTTGACTCTTGAGAAGGAGGAAGCCATACGGAAGGAAGTCGACAAGTTACTTGAGGCCGGGTTCGTTGAGAAGGCCAGGTATATCACTTGGCTGTCGAATGTGGTGTTCGTCCCTAAGCCGTCGGGAGATTGGAGAATGTGCGTGGACTTCACAAACCTCAATCGAGCGTGCCCAACGGATGCCTACCAAATGCCACGTATTGATCTACTTGTGGACGCCACGGCCTACCACGAGGCACTTAGCTTCCTTGACATGTTTTCGGGGTATCATCAAATTCCCATGGTGGAGAAGGATAGGGCAAAGACCGCTTTTATGACACCCTTTGGTAACTTCTGCTACAAAGTGATGGCATTTGGATTGAAGAATACGGGCGCAACGTACCAGCGCATGGTGAACCAGATCTTTCGCGAACAGTTGGGAAGGAACGTAGAAGCATACGTCGATGATTTGATCGTAAAAAGCAAGAGGCGCCAAGACCACATCTCAGATTTACGAGAAACATTTGAGACTATGCGCTTGTACAAACTGCGACTTAACCCACAGAAATGTGTGTTCTTTGCGGAGGCCGGTAAGTTCTTGGGGTTCATGATCACTAAGAGAGGAATTGAGGCTAACCCCAAGCAAGTTGAAGCAATTATGAGGTTGACGCCGCCCCGAACACCAAAAGAAGTGCAAGGATTGACGGGAAGATTGGCAGCGCTTGGGCGCTTCATTCCAAGAGCCTCAGATAGAGGCGCCCCCTTTTTCCGAACGCTGAAGAAGGCTAGCAAGTTTAAGTGGACGGAAGAGTGTGATGAGGCATTCGGGGATCTAAAGAAGTTGCTAACAGCGCCTACGGTAATGACGGCGCCCAGACCCAAAGAGACTCTATACTTGTACATTGTGGTCTCTCGAATTGCTGTGAGTGTGGTGTTGTTGTCCAAAGATCCGTCAACGAATGAGGAGCGACCGGTGTACTACGTAAGTCGTACCATGGTGGTGCACGAAACAAGATATGCGCCTATTGAAAAGGCGGCGCTGGCCGTAGTAATGGTGGCAAACAAGCTTCGATCATACTTCCAGGCTCACAGCATTGTCGTGCTCACAAATTTGCCTCTCCGAACGGTCCTGGGATCCATGGATGTGTCCGAGCGCTTGGTTAAATGGGCTGTTCAACTAAGTGAGTTCGATGTGAGCTATGCGCCCCGACCAGCCATCAAAGCGCAAGTGCTGGCCGATTTCGTGGCCGAAGGAGTGGTTGACATGGGAAGCGGCACGGAAGAGTGTTGGCAAGTTCAGGTGGATGATGCGGCAAGCCGAGCTGGTGCGGGAGCGGGTATTGTGCTAATCAGTCCACTGGGCGCCATGCATGAAGTCGCACTACGTTTTGCAACCCTCAAAACGAACAATGTGGCGGAGTACGAGGCGGTGCTAGCAGGGCTCCACATGGCAAGGGAGTTAGGCGCCCAAAAGGTTAATGTCCAAACTGACTCGGTGCTTGTGGTCAATCAGTTGAACCATGTGTATGAGGTAAAAGAGGAGGCGCTAGGGGCATACGTTCGCTCCGTCAAAGAGAAGTGTGCATGGTTTCGGGAGGCTACGTTCACGCATATCCCAAGGGAGGAGAACGCTCATGCAGATGCCTTGTCTAAACTGGCCACGGCGTTGGATTTTGGAGAAGACAGAAAGGTGATAGTCACCAAGGAAGCCCTGCGTGAGGAGAGGGTGATGGCATCTTTTTTCGGGGGAGCAATGGACGGGTGGATGGCGCCTATCATGTTGTTCCTAACA